GGTTTAAAACATCATGGGAGAACAACCGATTGAATCAGTAGAGCAGTGGTATCAAACAAGATCACATTACAGTGTGTCATACAGCGAGCAGGTTAATAGAATTAACAGTTCTATAAGCTAGACGTATTATCCTGGTGATATCAAAGTTTCGTGACTAATATAATCACAATGAGATATAAGTAAGGATGATTACTGGGTAGATCTAAAAAGTTTAAGGTTTAGCTGATGTCAACTTCATATCCTTTCATCGACCAATGATTACAATCTAGTATCATATTCCAGATCATCTTCTTCAATATCATCTTCTTCTCCTTTGTGATCTTCTTTTAAAAAAAATGTTGAAAGAGACAAATTAAAAGAAACCACAATAGCGCTCAAAGGATATGGTGGCAAAGCCATTACAGAATGAATCGCTCATATTTATGTTATTGCTCAACGAACAGAACTAGAGAAGTTATGAAGAACCTTGGTCCTGAGGTGGCAATCCCAAAGCCTGAATTTCCATCAATTCAGCTCCTTGCTGATCTACGTACACAGAAAAAATAATGAGTGAATAAGCCTCTTGATGTAACAACAAAAGCAAAACAAAGACAATTTTCTCAATCGTAAGGCAAGTTTTTTAATGGACTCAATGATCTTGATATAGACATTGTAAATAGCAATAATGTTTTTTAGTAACAATTTTAAGAATAATAGTGAGATCATTACATACTTTCCTGGTGAAATTGTTCTTCAATTCTAGTTTGATCTTCACCATGCTGCTCTTGTTTGTCTTGATTGTCTTGATCAATGGATAAAAAACAAGAGCGACAGAGCATAATCATGTACTGAGAAGGCAATTTCGAGACCATTAAAGGACGCAATATTAAATACAAGCAAAAAGTAATTGCAGCAAACGAAAATCTTCAAAAATATGTCAAAATGCTGCTGAAGTTCTCTCCTGGTGAGTCTTGGTGCATTTCACCGCTAAAGATCTTTGCGCTGCTTTTTTTTTTTTTATTTTGCAAGAAAGACCAAGGTTTTTTAAGCCAAGAGACCTTCAGTTGATATCGAATTTTTTTGGTACACTAATTGAACAATTTCAAGGTTAAAAACCTTGTTGTGGTTGTGGGAATCCAATAACCTGCATTTCCATGGCCTCTCCTTGTTGGTCATCTGAGGAAACAAAGATAAAAAGCGAATTGGAGGACAACATCATGTAAATNCCTCCCAACAAAAGAACGAGGATTGCCTTTGGAAGCCAACAAAGTACGACAACGCAAGCTATGCCCAGTGTGGTATTAATGCACATGTTCTCGGCGTTATGAGCGTTCTTGCATGCGGCACGATTTGCTCTTGTGCAAATCTGGATTCTATTCCGTCGAACAGTGTTATAAATTTTGAAGTAACACCAGCAAATTATGTAAGGAGATGGTTGTGTTATCACAAGGAAGACCAAGTAGGAGACATGTGGTCCATCAAATGACCATTCAAACGTACAGAGAAAAGACTGAGGGTAGAATCTGTACTTCCCCCATCCATACAGCGGTGGACTGCAGAGGATGAGAGGTACAACCCAGCACAGCGAAAGAAGGATTTTTGGTCTGCTTTTCTTTGCAAAGAAAATGCCATTATACAATTGGGGCTTCACGACCTTGAAATACCTGCTGAGCGCAATTAGAAGCAAGGAATAGAGAGTTGCATTTGCCATTACGAAGAACAGAAACCCTGACACGTTACAGATGATGTTACCAAAGATCCAACGTCCTTTTATCAAGCTTGTGATCCATAACGGCATGATGAGTAATGTTTCGACCATATCGACAAGACATAAGTTTGCAATGATCTTATTTGTGAAAGTTTTCAGGGTAGAGTTGGTTCTTATTGCATACAGAACAATGCAGTTGGTTAAAATTGAAGCCAGGAAGACAATTGTAGCTGCAAAGGACTCCAGCACAATTTCCACGCTATTCCGCCCCTGTGAATCTCCAGTCAGCGATGAATTTTGACTTTCTTGATCATTCATTATGGAAATGTCTTGTTTTTCGTTCCTGTGAAATAGATTATGAAAGATTAAAATCAGAGAAGCGTAGCATAAATAGCGGAATATTTATAATGTGGTTAAACTACAAGCTTATCAGAGTGGAACAATGTATGTGTCGGCTCACACTAGATTTCCATTAAATCCCGAAGTGTTTCTCATTGAACTTGCGCCTGTCCCTTCCTAAATCAGCGTCGTGGCTCCTTCAGTTGATGGAGTCTACGAGTAACTGATGAAGTAAAGTGTCCCTACTTGAGACCCAACAGCTCAGCCATGCAGAAATCAAGAAATTTTATCCGAGACTTCCGCTTGAAGCCTCTATACGCACACTTGCCATTATTTGAACTCTCAACATTCGTTGTATCCAGTTGAAAACTGAATACTGAATTACTTCAACTGCAACAATAACTACCTTACTGTTTTTAGGTTTGAAAATCATATCGAACGGTAACACTTCTAATACTATACACAACACTGACACGAAGAACTTAATTATCTCATTTACGTAAGGTCTTACATTTTGCCCTTAAGCAGACGAAAATTAACTAGACGATAAATAAATGTGAGTCGGTATAAACACGGCAAGGTAACGAATCGTCCTGAGGGAAGTTAATCAGTATTTTTTCCTCCGTTCGTGTGTGAGATCAAAGCATATGCGTCTAATTAAACATGAAGAAGTAATTGCATCGTCAAACGCTAAACGGAAAAAAAACTGGATTCTTATTTCGTACACTTACGTTGCAGTATTCCCTGTATTACGGAGAAACGTGTAACAAAATTTCCTAATTTACGGTAAGAATGTATAGTTACGCTTTTGGAACCGACTTAAAGAAGAAGATAAATTGTTCAACGGTTTCTCAGTTTGCCGTGAGAGTCACGCGCTCAAGCTCTCGATCAAGTATGCAATGAGAATACTGACAGCAGTAATGAGTAGCCATAAAGGTTAAATAACAATCGGAAAAGTTCCTGACAAACAATCAACATTCATACCTTACAACTGAATGAATTTACAACTTTCAGATCTAGAGTATATTGCGATTCCGCAGGAGAATGAAACTTCACAAATCAAGACTCCACCAAAGGCATTTTCATAAAAATATTCAACTTCCCGTTTCATGTTACGTGATAAGGATCATGATGTGTGTTGACTTAGTTAGTGAGAGGAATACACAATATCTGGTGCTTATTATATGCAAATGCAATGCATCGTAAATCACTCATAATGGCAGTTATGGATACGCTTTATCCTGAGTGCTCATCTAGAAAGAAAAAATTTATAAAACGTGTATTTTTCAAGAGATGTAAACTAAATTCAAGCTGCACTCGCCCTTTTGACCGAATGACCTCGATTTTCTTTGCGTGTGATTCGGACTGAGTTCCATTGACATCTAGTAATGATAATGATCTGTTTGCTAATGATGACATCTTAAAATAAAGATGAACAAAATACATGTATGTGTCTATTTAATTTCATCCGGCACATCACTTAAAAGTAGGAAGAAGATGGCGGCTTTATGACCATGTCAAATTTTGTTTTCACACGTTTTGTACAGAATTTCGCAATGCGATAAAAACACAATGGACCTTTCAGTTCTAAAACTATTGATTTATTTTGGAAATGTTACAAACACTAACTTCCATGTTAAATGAAGATGTTTTCAATATCCATACATCAGATATCACAAAAACCCCAGATTATAATATCGATCTCAATTTTGATCTCATCATTCGCAGTCTCCATTTAGCGCGGGCTAAGTTTCATTTTTCCCGTCATGCATGGCGTGTACACCGTGATCCAGCAGATTTCTTTTAATTATGAGACTATCCCAGGGTACATTACGGTTCAAGTTGCTTGCTTTATGTGTTCGCTCCTTGTCTCTATTTATGTCCTGCTTTATGTCTCTCTACATTTCTTTGATATTAAGCTTCTGAAACTCGACTCGTAACATATTCTATCGGTATATTAGCAAACAGATAAAAACAGCCCGACCTGTTTTGCGAACTCAGTATAATGGTTGAGCGGTTTCGTCGTTTCGCTTCCCGAGAAGGAAGGGCAGCTAGTTCGAAGGAGGAACACGGGCTTATTCCCTGGCCAGTGAGCTTTCAAAAACGGCTTTCATTTGAAGAAAATTACAAACAGTGAAGAGGGCTTTTGGTAATCATGGTTATTGTGTTCTTGCTATCTAAATGATAGCCATCTCTAGGAGGGTGAATTCGCTCATTGTAATTTCAAACTTAGGGTCTGTAAACTTAGGATTTAACACTCTTACTAGAGGATAAAAATCGTCTTGATATTTTTAAGGTAAAAACCATGAAAGATCCCAAGAAAATATAGCTTTTCATATACGCCTTCATCAATATTAATTGATTGGAAATAAATCATTAATAAGACGTCCCGAACAAGCATTCATGCATTCATTTCAGTTAATATACATTATATGGTATTGAAAAATGTTAAGCCCCTATGTCATCCTTACTAAAAGGTTATTTCAGTTGTTTGAAATACTGACAAACAAATATTTAACACCTCTCTGTAGAATAGAAACCATGTTGCTATGTTATGAGTATAGTTTGAAAACCATGCGGTCGTCTCCTCGGGAGAAACGTGCTATCAAAGTTTATTATGATTGCAGTTAGTTTCCAGCGTAGGGTTTCATTCATTTCGATATTTCATCTAAATTTTTTTAATTTGGGATTTTCGGCAAATTCACTCCATTAAGGAGAGTGGTAAACACAAATTCAATGGAAGAGTCGTTAGCGTGGTTTTAACAAGCTAGCGACAAGCATTTTTGTTTGGTGATTTAGGATACAAATAATTGACTACCCTCAACAAAATAGGGAAGAATTTTCCATCTCCATCGTGCTACAGGACAAAACTTTACCGAAAATATTAAAACTGTGTGAAAGAGATACGCGTCTTTAATTTTCATGGTTTATCGGAAGAAAGTTTTTCTTTCCCGATTTATTCAACCCGTTATTGAATGCATGCATTCAATGTTTATAATTATGGTCAAAGTGCATATCGTAAATTTTGAAACGATATCCAAAAGCGCATACGTCTAATGTAACTCTGAGGTAATCAGCTCATTTGAAAAATTACAGTACTTTTCAAAAAGGGGACGCTTCTTGTACCGCCATGTTCTTAATTGCTCAAATTTCTAACCTCCCAAAACAGACTCATTAGACTTTTATGTTTGACTCAGCCGTTTTTGGTATTTTCCTTTACAGTTTAGATAAATTAAACATGTTCCATAATGAGGCGAGAATACTATCTCCGCGCGAAATTACGTTAGCATTTTGCAGAAAAAGCTCAGTTAAAATTACTAACGCGATATTTTAGCGTTGCTATAACAAATTTCGGAAATCATGCTTCAAGATAAGCTAGGGAAGTGTATATCTGCGATACGTCCTGGAGAGATTAAATATTATCCTTCAAAATTTTGTCTTTCTAAATGAAGAACTGCTTTCTCAGTTGCCGTTACTCTGTTGCTTTCCCAGTTGCAGTCAAACCTCGTCCTGCAATCAGTGAGCTGGGGCTATATGTTTTCCATATGATTAAATAGATTTAATTGTCGGAACAGAGAGGCTATAGAGATTGTTGTGTCTAATATGAAAGAAAAAATCGCCATATGATATTATTGAATCCCGATATCATGCCAGGTAAAACGAGAAGTCTATGATTGAGAATTAAACTAAGTACATTTTAGCAAAATAGAGGTAAATTCAATATGGTGAATGTCCCCAATAACCAAACTCTCCCAGACGTTTGTAATATGGCGATCAAGAGTTGAAACTACAGATATCGCGGAATCCTTGTTCGTTTTATAAAATTGTCACTTTTACTCCGAATTTTGCACTGGTACTGTTGAATCAGTAACTGATGACGAAAATTAAGTCAGCATTTTTCGGTTGTTGGCCATAGATTATGGTTTAAAAAGATCAGAGTGCTCATATTTGTTCTGTTTTAGCTTTTTATGAACGAAAAACCTTGCAAAAATAAACGATTTAGGTGAAATTAGATCAAATAAAAATGTTCAGTATGTTTTATATAAATCTGATTTTAAAACTGCTTCATGATGAAAAATGGTTTACATAACAGCACGACTCTTTTGTTTTCGTGTTCTTCACCCAAGTTGCAATTTCTTACCTTTGTCTTTGTTCGATTTGTTAAGTTCCAAGCCAAAACTTGCTGGTGTGATCAGATCCTTAAGCTTGATTTGCGAAATCGAAAGGTAAACTTTCTAGTGCGAAGAGAAATAGACTTTTTCAATGTTGGGTTTAGGCTCCACATAGGCTCCGTGTTCACTCAATTGAAAAACACACAATCGATTGCTGTCTCTCTTTAATTATTCAGATAAAATTACGCACATGCTCACTTTCAAGCCTATTAGTTTGCTCATACACTAAGCAGGAAATTTAATGTCGTCTGCGAGTTGCAAATAGCTCGCACATCAATAGGAAAAATTAAAAACGGAAAGGTGGAATTTGTAAAGTGGAAATTTCTAGAGAGCGATGCGTGTGAACGAAAATTGGAATACCACCAGCAGTTAGGCACCTGTTCACCTGTTCTTTTAAATAAATATGATTGCAAATATTACTAAAAAGCGAGAAAGAAAGCAAATATAATATAGGTTCCTTTTGCATTTTTAATTTTCGACGTTTAGTGCCAAAGTAACAGTTAGAAACAAATTAAAATTAACCAACGTTTTCGCAGTCGGAGCGTCGAGGCCTGCTTTGAAAAAGTAGTTTTTTCGCTAGAGATGCAACACTGAGCTGAACATCTTTGCCAAGCTATATTATTGAGCGAAACACAGGACGGTTTTACACGGTCATCATGTGTAAATGTAAAAACCTTTTCTTTTTTAACAGAAATTTTTCTGAAGTTTCTCATTTTAGCAGAGTTATCTTGTTATGGGCAGTGGAAAGGTGTGCCACAGCTTGAGCTAAAGAAATTCAATCTGCCCAGATCCTTCATTATTCAAAAAGCGGCCTTAGTCTTTCTTAATTTAAAGAGAAAATTAATTCCTGTCGATGAGCTCTCATGTAGAGAGGAAAACTGTCTTTTATATATTCAAGACGCCGTTTATAACCAGTAAAGATTTGAAGAACTTACCAAAGACATTCGTATGAGACTGTCTCTTAAAATCAACCAAATTTCCGTTCCGAATCCAATTTGATTAATACCGTACTCACTCAGATAACTGTCTACTCGCACTTTGACTTCAGACAGCCATTAGTATTCAGTGTGAAGTTTCTCACTCGAACAAGAATATCGTATTATGGCCAGCGCTAAAGAAAGAGAATCCTTCAACTTTTATAGCGGACTGAAAGCTACTGTATTACTGGTAATTTGAGAGCACGAATGATCTATTTCTCTTTCAAACATTGGAAAAAAAATTGAAAAAACAATAGATAACTTTTTGAGCTTGACGAATCAAAATAAGCCCTAAATGCAATTCATCTTAGAACTCTAGAAGGAAGGATAGTTTCTTAATTTGACTAAATTTATCATTGGCTGTAGTACGTACCGTAGACTAACGTTTTTCCTGACCATTCATCACCTAAGTCAACAAATTGTATTGAGGAGGGATTCATAAACCAAAATGCCGCCCACAATTTTCATCAAAACAGAAAAAACGCGCGTGAGTGTAATGATATAAACTGCCATAACATGACGAGACAGGCGAGTATCACAAACCAAAAACTTCCTATTCGAAAAAATACAAACAAAACAAAACTGGAGGTCCAGAAAGGAAAATCCGAAAACCAATTTCTTTTTTTTTTTTTAGTTGACCGCTAAAATCAACACACTCAGTCTCAACATAAAGTCATATAACATATGGCGAAGAAGATAAAAGTGAAGCAAAGGAGGAAATGCTAAATATATTTTCGGAGGTAAGAAACTCCCACGAAACTTTGACTGCCATTATAATTCAAATTACACCAAAATGTTCTCTTACCCTCTACATATAAGAGAGGCGTTACTTAATCCGTTAAATCCCAGGGGTGACCAGCATCTAATTTCCCTTTACAGTGAAACCGCTGAATTATTCACGAAAATCACGAGAATAAAGGAAATGATCACCAACCTGAGAAGTTTGATTCTTAAACAAATTCTCTCTGTCAGTACCAAAGGAAATGTATGGGGAAGACTATGGAGATTATGGAAACTGGTATAAGGTTGTTTAGTTCGTAGTATGTCCACTTTTCTCCTCTTGGAAAGGAAACGTTTTAAGTCCATAAACCAAAGCTCTCTGAAGAGTCGAACGTTCAGATCATGCTCGAATTTTTATCAAATCTGGGATTCAGAAAAGAGAAGGGAGCTTTGAGTCAATTGCATGCTCTTCTAACATCCTTCCAAAGCATGAGAAATGGTAAACATCGAACCAGTGATGGAGAATCTGTCAGGAATTTGGTATTAGAGGTAATTAATTGAGGCAGAAATTTTTATAAAGCTTTATTTTTTAAGCGGAGCCAGCACTTGAAACCAGTGGGCTGTAGATAAATGAAGACAAAGATTATGATTTTCATATGAAAACGGAGCGGCATGAAATCCGGAGTATACTGTGTGTAACAGTGCATGCAAGTGTAAACGCACCATTTCTGAAAAATCCTGAGGTTTCGAAAAAATTTGAAACTTTCATGAAAAAATTTCGTATCAAAGTTAAATTTAAGCCTACGTGGTGATATAATTAAATTTGTAAATCTAGTGGTCTGAATCGTCAAAATAACAGCTTTCCTAAACTTTTTTTTGATGACGTATCTCCGATCATATCATTTTTTCATACTACAAAATAAACCTCAATGGAGGCCGTTCAGGGCTATAAAAAATTCATTAACCACAGATTACTCCTAACAGCTTTTTCAATCTTAAAAGTGATGGGCAGTTTGTCGGTTTAAAATTTTCTCGAATGTTGTTATCATCTTCAGTGTAAGTACATCGGAAACTTCAAAGATTTTTTAAATTAAAATCAGGGGCTGTTACTAATTTAGAGGCGCTAAAAATTTCATTGATCATTACAACGGACAATTTCTTTCCTACTGTCACCGAAAAACATTATTAGGATTAATTCGCCTTAAAACGAATATAACTTTTCATATTGCGTGAAATGTGTTCAATTTTTAAACAGGAAGTGGATATTTTTAGCGTATCTTGAGGCTGTGCTGTCAAAGTGTGAATTACGAACGCCCAGTGACGAACGAAGAGCGACGAGCGTCGGAAAGACGAACGACGAAACTAAGCACGACATTTTGACGAACGGCGACCGACGACCGACGAGAACGAGCACTTAGACCGAGAAGGGACGATGCCTTTAGGGTTAAGTTACTTCATTCGTGATATTACTCAACCCTCAGTTATCCAAAACAGAACACCATCTGAAAGCACACAGACTCGCTGATCCCCGACATTATTCTTTCTAGTCGAAAGGCCATCTTTATACCGAAAATAAAACACGTCAAGTTAGTGAAGATTCTGTTACCAACTGAATCGAACACAATATATATACACCCCAAGCCTGAGTCCCTTGGATGAAACAATATATCCGAACCAGCTATGGCTGTCACTCGCGCCAAAACTGACAGGAAAAGTCATGCACGTATTTTTAAACTGGTCAAGCTTCTAAAATCAAAGAAGAAAAGCGAAAACTCTTTTCGTGAAACCCAAATGCAAATTTTGCTACGACATTTCACTTTTCTTTTCCCGTACAAGCAATGAAAACTCAAAATCCGTTGGAGATTGTTTCTTTTCAATTCTTGGCATGCAAAAATGGCTTCAGTATATTGTCTGGCTCATCGAGTTTGAGTGGGGTCACTTGGAAGCGCCTTCATGAGGTCTACATCTGCACGAAGGTGCCACTGTAGTGGCAAAACAAATTTCTCTTAATTCTAAATATTTTTTCATTAAAAAAATTGAAATTTCTCCTCACCTTTTCTTGCAGTTGAAGTCAAACCGTCAGTCTTTGAAAGTGGAACATTATCGGTTGTTCAACCTCACCGAGAATTACAAATACAACAACAGCTGCACAGCCCACTAACTAACTTTACCATGGACGATGTTGTTTGAGAATATGTCAAGATATTTTTTCGAACTGTCTAACTCATTTCCACACTTTCAAAAACAATTTCAGTATTTTGACAATATGAATAAGAGTTTGTTTACAATTTTGCAACGCTAATGAAAAAAAACACCCTTGAGAGTATTGTGCGTTTGCAAATTCTGAAGTTGAATCTGTTTTAATTTGCTTAAAAAGGCAATAAAATAAAACCAAAATTCTTGTGAGAAAAGGAAACCAAGGGGAAATATACTTTATCAAAGGCACACGAAATAAATTTACCTTTTTTCGTTGAAAAGGACAATTTGCGGTTTTTAATCAAACTCTAGTTTACATCAGGGATGTAGCAGTCATTTGTATCTCTCTTAAGCTTTAATTCTTACCTTGTTATGTTCAATGAGGCTCAAGTAAGACTTAAAGCTGGTTCAATTGCACCAATAGCTGAATTTCAGAAACAGATCCAAGTTCCTCTAGCTTGAAACATGAGGCGTTTGGTAAGACCTCTCACTGTTTAGCGCTAACAGTTGGTTCCCCGTCGGTTGGTCTCCAACAACAATTTCTAGCAATTAAGCTCAATCTTTCAGTCAGGCAGCAGCATATAAAACTGCATTTGTTCCTTACTGAGTTTGTTTGCTATGAACATTTTGCAGCCATCATTTCACTTCCTTGCCAACGTATGACAACACAAGGTAAAGTGTTATTGTTACATTAACGTTGAATTGAATTTTCACGGGGGCGTGCTTTACGACTTGTATTTTCATATAAACATTTCAGTTTACCCATTTTCATTTGAATACACGAAATGCCTTATTTATATTCATCATTCTAATTTTCAGTGCGGTTTATTTGGAATGCTGAGATTGTCAAAGAATTTATGGACAGCTCGCCGTGAATTTCAAACCGATTATCCCCAGTCTTGAAAGCATTGAAATAAAGGAAGTCAGAATTACTCCCGCCGACCTAATTCAGACAAATATAAAATCCATTCATCTAAGCCTCTTTCTTTACAAAGTGAATTCCTTTAACCCTTTGGACCTCCTAAGAGTTATTAGTATTTAATTTCTTCCTACAATATCAGCCCTTGAATCACACATTAAGGTCAGGAGAATATAGGAAATGATCATGTGTGCTCATGCGACTTAGAAACCCATAGCTAGTAGCTATGAATGCCAAACTAGTGCTGTTCAAAACAGCTATTTTACCGTACTTAAAGTGTCGTCGATTACGAGTTTGGTATTTTTGTAAATTTCGCGGAATTTGCTCTCCGCACACGCTGGTTCAACAAACGAGAGCTGTATACTCTCTTTTAAATTGGCTTTTATTCTTCAGCTCACAACATTCACGTTCCGCCCTACGTTCTAACTAACTTAGGATCACAAGTGCCACTTTTATTGGCTACAGATCTCCACACCCAGATACGAAGGTCCGGTGTGGCCGGATAGGGCTTAATTGTCTATTAATTTCCTAATCGGTTGATCCCAAATCTTATCATCGTTAATCTTAACACGCGATTTCACTAGCAATTATCTAGTTAATTACATCATTGTTTGTCGATCGTTCTATACATTCTTTGTCAATATATTTCCGGTTACATTCTACAGGTCTTTATTAGAGGTAAAGAACCAATAACTCACTTAGTGCGGCGCTAATCATGCGAAATATAACAAAACAAGCAAAATCCTAATAATGGGTGTAAACGTTCTATAACAGTAAAGCAAGCGATTCGCGCAAGATAGAACGACTCCAAGAGAGAGGCTTAAGGGCTGTGTACAATCGGATCATCACGCGCACATTAAAGAACAGACGCATGCAGGATGTATGCACCCTTATGTATGAAGTCAAACACAATTTATCTCCAGCTCATATTAGCAATATTTTTAATGCTGCTAGTACTTCTTATTTTTTAAGACAAACTGATTTTAGCGTTCCTAGTTATAATACAGTACAATAATCAATCAGTATAAAAATCGAAAGTAAATAAAAAACTAACGTTTTGAGCGTCGTCAGAGCGACGACGAAGGGCAAACGCTTGAAAAGTCGGCTTTAGAATCTTTACGGTGGTCAATTTACACTATCAACTCAGTTGATAAAAGCAAATTATTACGTATCACCCCCCTTTTGAAGTCCTAAATGTAATAACATTTGGTCCAAGATGTAATAAGCCTCCGATGCGAAAGATTAACTGCGCTTGTCAGCATCCACATGGAGATGTTAAAATGATAACCGTTGCATCACAGAATCCTCTGACCATAATTCATAGCGTATTGCGGGCTCGCTCGCTGATTTTAATCAATGTCTTTTTTTGCTTGGGACGTAGGCCGAGAAGCATTGGTTACAAATCTTGATACTGATGTGCTTTTGGAATCAAATACACAGATCTCAAAACAATAGAACGCTGACTAATCCAGCCATCTTGACCGAACAGGCTTGGTCAAGAGAGTTTACATTTTCGGCAAGTAATTTTTCACGGAAAAAAGGCGTTTTTTTTTCAGTTATCACGAATGACGGAAAATACTTTCTTTGTTTCACCTATCAAGACTGGTATATCGTTCACAGTTCACGGCTTTTAACTTTTTACAATCACGTGTCCCAGCCGGTCACGTTTTTTATCACGATAAAAACAGCCGATCACCATGACGTTTCACAGAAAACCCGTTTATTGACGAAACCCGTTTATTGACGAAACCCGTTTATTGACGAAACCCGTTTATTGACGAAACCCGTTTATTGACGAAACCCGTTTATTGACGAAACCCGTTTATTGACGAAACCCGTTTATTGACGAAACCCGTTTATTGACGAAACCCGTTTATTGACGAAACCCGTTTATTGACAAAACTCATTTATCGACAGCCGATAAAGGCGGATTCTTTGCATTTTCTTCTCAATGTATAGGACATTGCCATTTTAATTTCTCCTTAGCGTCATCCAAAATATACCAGAAGCTGTGATGGACGTCATGTTGGAAGAAGTCTAAAATGATGACGCAGGAATATTGGCAGTTGAAAGCTTTTGAAAATTCCTGCAGTATATATACCTTCCTTAGTCTTAAAACTCACTAAATGGTCTTCAATGCAACCCTTTTCTTCTATTTTAATTTAGACTTTGAGAGATATTTCTTTTACTTTGCGAAAAGGTTGGAAAACGATTTTGTTTTCCGCAATGACCGATTGTCTCGGTATTTGGTTAAGATATTTGCTTTCTCTTTTCTGTTAACGTTGTGACTGTTTTAAAAAAGCGCATAAGAAATCTCAGGTCCTTCTGGCTAACAAGGGACATCGATAAGAAAATGAAAACATGTAGCGATCTTTCTTGTCCTGTCAAGAAAGATACAGCCTGCAAAGTTTGCCTAGCGAACATTTATCACAGACATTCATTTTTATAGTGGTTAGTCTTGTTATATACCTACCTTGAAATTTAAGTTTCTTGACGGCACACAACTCTAGCTGCTTAGCGTAGTGATTTATATGCAATGACTTGTATCAGTTATATATCACGAGATTCATCCTGAAAAGTTACTCTGAGTGTTAGGAAGGCGACTGGAGGTACACTCCCACCGAGTCATTTCATTGTTTTGGAGAAAGAGAAAATGTGTCGTGATGTGCCTAAGAAAGGGAATTTTTTTCTTTTTACAACTGAAATTTCTTTATTGAGTCATTTCTTCTGATTTATACCTTATTCTGGGATATCTCGAGACCATTACGTGAAGTCGACTTCATAATAAACCTTACGCTAGTAGAGAACTTAATTGGTACATTGCATCACATATTTCATGGTTATTCGATCAAAAACTTACGCATCTCCCGAATCAGGGACGGTACAATTAACAAACCGCTACGATGTGGTTAACACCCCTAAGGTTCAATCTGAATTGTCTTCTGAAACAAAATATGCAGAAAGCTTATTTAAATATAACGTTTTGCAATTTCATTATGAAGAGAAATCAATTATCTTGATCCAACTTTATGCTACTTCATTACGACGTGATAGATCCTCTTATCTATAAATGAGGAAAAATTTCTAAAGAAACTGTGGTTTGCGGCGTCAAAGTGAATAACAAGGGAATTTTGGTTTTATCAGGTGACTTGATAATGTAAATTGGCTACCGTGAAGATCGAGTTTCAAAGCTTCGCTCTGACGAAGGGCTTACGCTCGAAACGTCAGCTTTGAAACTCTTTATGGTTGCCCATTTACACTTTCAACTTAGTTCAGTAATAAAACCAAAATTACCTCTTATTCATACACGCATTCAAAGTGGTAACAACAACCAAACTTTACTTTGGTGATTTCATCAAAATGGCATCTGACTGAGAATTATACTTCTCCCATGCTTTACCTGTTATCAGGTAACCGGTAAACCAATGTCGGGAAAAGATAAAGATTTTATACCAAAAAAAGTGATTTCTTCAGCTATCGATCCTCACTGAATATAGCTGTAGGAAAGGTGAAGTTAAATCGTCATGCCCATTTTATCATATCAGTAAATTTGGTTCCCTTAAACGTAAAAGTTTTAAGATTTTAAGTCTTGAAAGCCGGGTTTTATAATTCTTCTCAAAACAATTTTATTTATTTAAGTGCCTAAATCGTTTTTTTACGTAATGGCACTTTAAAGATGAACATAAAATAGTGACTTGAGCGATCTGGGAGTTTGAAAGAATTTAAAAGTCACTATATGATTTTCTTAAATTTTAAACCACTTGGAAATTTATTAAGGAACGAAGATTTACTTATTAATTAATTACTTCCGTTATTTTTGTAATGTATGATGTTCCTCAATGTAAACTAATGAACCAAAAATTTGCTGTATGTCTTAAAATCGCGAAAATATCTTGAGAGATGATGACTCCATTAGAGCAAGTTTGTGAAATTAAGTCTCGTTTCATCGGCCTACCAACACCGAGGAGTGATTAACTCCAAGCTTGGATAAATCTTTCAGCAGAGACACCACTCCTGCGAAAATTTTTCATGGTGGACAGGAAATTTGTGATCGCCACAATTTCGCGCGAGGGCGCGGGGTTTGAAGACAGGTGAATTTTGTCAATTCTGATTGGCTACTTGTAAATTAAATCGTTTTTAGGCGATTGTGATTGGTTCGTGGACACTAATATCCGGGAACTTGGAATAGCGAGAAGTGTTCGAAAGCTCTAGATCATGGCGACCGCTAACGACAAACAGTGGCAGAAAGATGCAGCCGATCAGAATTTCGATTATATGTTCAAGCTTTTGATCATTGGAAATTCTGCTGTTGGCAAGACATCGTTTCTCTTTCGCTATGCGGATGATTCATTTACGTCCGCGTTTGTTTCAACGGTAGGAATCGATTTTAAAGTGAAGACGGTTTTTCGAAAAGAGAAGCGAGTGAAACTTCAAATTTGGGATACAGGTGCGCTTGTTATTTTCTGCTCGTCTTCTGTAGTTTTTACTAATAGTTTCAGTACTTATAGACTTTATTTTACAGCCGGTCAGGAAAGATATCGAACAATAACCACTGCCTACTATCGTGGGGCCATGGGATTTATTCTGATGTATGACATTACCAACGAAGAGTCATTTCAGGCAGTGCAAGATTGGTAAGGATTTCATTTTATGTTTAATAATTTTTAGGCGCTGATGTTACTTCAGCCACCAAGTTTCCATCTCACCCAAGGAAAATTGATTTTAATCCCTTATTTCCGTATACTGAAATTTCTTCTAGATTTCGATTTGTTCGGGTCAATTTCACAACATCGCAACAGTAAATTTTCGTGGATCATTAGTAAAAGAAAAGATAAATTTGATTTGTGAACATCACTACATAAATGTCAGAAATCCTCTTGTTTCGCCATTTCCGACGACAAAATGTTTGACTTGAGGCAGTTCTGCTAGATCGTGTTTGCCGTTATTCAAAATTATCGAAAAATTTAAAGAATGCAAAGGTGGGAATCAATTAAATATTATAGTTTAAATTTAAAAAGATTCACTTAGCTTTGCACCAAGTCCCTTCGTGGGAAGACGCAGTGCTGACATTCATAACCTTATATTCTGTGGAAAGAAATTTTGTAAACTTTGTCGTTTCAAACGTAGAACGTGTTTACATTTATAGTGTAGAATTCTTTGCATCACGCATGGCTAAGCTTCTTTGCCTCATTATAATTTTGCTCGAATTTTCATGTGTGGGCGAAAACTTCGTCTTGTTGACAAAGTATCGTGCATGATTGGTATATGAAGTTTCTTTGAAGAAAGCTGCGAGATTGCACCAAATGTCAGCCTTTTAAAAGTCTTTTCTCGAGCAATTTACTTCAGATAAGTCAACGATTAAATTGAAAGATTCGGCGAGATCTGTAGACAAGATCAGAGACCATGTTAGTCTCGATCAAACGAGATACTTAATGTAATTACTTTTAGCCCACTTCGTTTCATTTTCGATTGAAAACATAAATTATCTCGAAAACGCAAGGTGGCATAAGTTTCTGCTGGTTGAATAATATTATTTTGATCTTAAGCAACTACTTCTTTATGCTTGAGTAATAAAGGATAAAAATGCAAAATATTAATTGCCTTGAGTTAACCATGTAAACAATTTCATCCAATTAATATTGTTGAAAGGAAACTCAGGAATTAATAAACTTTTTCTGTTATTTGAAGTTTGATTTTTTTTTTTAAATTAGTGACAAGGTGTATGAGGCTTTTCCATCTCTACTGCTACTACATATTTCCTTTTAAATTAAATACAAGAATTTTAAAATTGTATGTGTTAACTTTGAGTATTCTCATTACTCGTATTCTGGATGATGTATGGATCTTACAGGGAGAAGTTACATGTTAATCACTCGGAGTTAAAGGGTGAATTAAGCAACATCAAGGTTATCCTCGCACTTATAGTAAACAGGGTTTAGAATAAAAGGGTGTTTATTGATTGGACTCATTTCCTTGTACACAGGTCAACACAAGTGAAGACATACTCTTGGTCCAATGCCCAGGTGATACTTGTTGGAAACAAGTGTGACATGGAGGAAGACAGAGTCGTGACTTATGATAGAGGGAAGCAACTTGCGGACCAGCTTGGTCTGGAGTTCTTTGAAACCAGTGCAAAGGATAATGTTTATGTCAAACAAGTGTTTGAACGCCTGGTGGACATCATCTGTGACAAGATGTCAGAGAGCTTAGATTCTGATCCAACAATTGTCAGTGGACAGAAGCCTGGAACAACAAAGATATCTGACAAGCCTCCTCAACAACAGGACAGTGGCTGTGCTTGTTGATCTTTATGAATTGTTGTATCTTTTGAATAGGAGTGATGTTAGATTTCATTTTAAATTTTCTGGATCTTTGCAAAGTTGCAGGTTTGGTTTTGTTGAAGCTCTGTTGGTTACTACATAGATTGACAGACTATTATTTAACCCTCTCTTGTGAAGAAACTGCAAATTCTTCCTACCGACTATTATTTATACTAATTATCAATTTGGTAAAATTGAAGATGGTGCTTTCCAGAAATTTTCTCTTCTAGTTGCTAGTTCTCTTTATTCTCATTGCTTGCCTGCCCGGCATTGCATGAATTTTGCATGAGAATCTACTGCTACACTACTTCCTCAGTTGAGATATACACTCCCCAACAATTTTAACCAATAAATGTCATTGATTTGATGAAGTAATCATATAAGAAATTTGAAATTTGAATCAAAACTCACTCATTACTTATATTTCTGTTAACTTTTAATCCTTTCTTTCCTAAGATCTAATCAGTATTTCTCCTTACTGTCTGCTGTACAATTGTTATGATGTTAGTTTGGAGAATTTGGTATGTGATCAGCTAATCCCCTAATTTAATTTTTCTTTATTCTCATCACATGTCTGCATGATATTGTAAGGAGAAATTCTGTCTTGGTCTCCCATAGGAGTTAAAAAAGGTTCATTGGCATGACCAATTTAGTTTTAACTCACAGCTTGCTCCTACCTTGTTATTCACCTTCTTATTAAAGATTTCTTGAGGAAGGTTATAAGATTTGAGAGTCGAGGCCTCAAAAACCTCTTTTAAATAAAAAAAAAAATGTGTACGGAGAGGAGAGCCATAAAACAGAACACACTTACTTTTGGATGTAAAGTTTAAAATATTATTATACTTGTAGGAAAAATGTTAGCGTTTAACTTAATTTTTCTTGAATTTGCCTTTGTCAAATGGTCTATTGTGAATCAGTTAGAATGATGTTGTGCCACAGAATATCCCACACCTTACCCCTGACAGGAGGACATTTTGGTAAAACACCTACTTTCCCAACTCTCCCTGGGAATTATCAAAGACAGGGCCATTATTTTCTTGATAGTGCACAATATTAGAGCCTGTATGTATATCACATATCTAGTCATATGTAAGCTTTCCCCTAACTCTCTGGAATTAGCTTGAAATAAGCCATATTGGTTGTCATTATAATGGTGGGAATGAAAGAGTCATGCAATTTAAATTCACCCACAAAAAAATAATTTATTTTTGTGGTCAACACAAGTGACCAATTCCATCAGTAAAAAATGTTTCTGGAGATAACAGCTTAATGCAAATGTATTCTTAGTTTAACAGCTGTTTGATAATGCCTGTTAGTATTATTTTTATGTTTCAGCTTTCTGGCTTGTGAATTTATGAAGAATAAATATTTTGATCTTCAAAGAAATTAGAGCTGGAAACAGAAATAATTATTAAGAACATATTGTTCACTAGCTGGCATTTTCCAAATATTGAACTGAGCTCAAACTGGTAATTTGATAATTAATTTTGACCTCTTCATTTTCATCATTACAGCCAAACTAGCCTAGAACTTGTTACAATACTGATATGTTGTGAACATATGATTTATGAATTTCTAAAGTATGTAACTAAAACCCTTTCACTCTCAAGATGTCATTTACGATATTTCCTTACTGTCTATAACACAGTTCTTTTGATGTTAGTTTGGAGAACTGTCACATTTGGATCAACTTATATTTAATATATATTTTTCCAAGTTCTCATCACTTGTCTGCTTGACATTGGGTTGATAAGGCAAGGAGAAATTATCTGTTGGTCACTCTTGGTGGTGAAAAGGGTCAAAAAGGTAGATTGAGGGTGCTTACTGTTAAACTTGTACTACCATTAACGATGGAAATATTTATTCACTCACTAGTTTGTGGTCCCGATTTTTTATTTGGTTAGGAAGTTTTTTTTTTAAAATATTATAAGAGTTAATGGTTTGTTAAGTTTGATGTTATAAGTTGCACTTAAACTTGCAGTTTCTGTATCTAAATTCCAATGTGATCAATGCTGGAAACAGCTTTAATGATTCTGTTATCACAAGCTATGAATTTTGGAATGTTCTTTTGTGTAGCATAAACTGTTCTCCGAAATTGTTTTCTAGTGTTGTTAATAAAACTTAGGCTAGATTTTCACTGATTTTCTTCCAGTATTGTTCTGAAACTGGTAATGCATCAGTGCTTCTTTGGTGTTGAACTGATTAAGATTTAACTTACATGTAAGTTATTAAAATGTACTTCAAAGGTGAAGGATGTTAATGGTATTTATAGGGATAGAGGAACCATATGTATTCTATTAAAGGTCAGAGCATGTATACAGCATAATAGCATTGATGTGGAACAGACTTAGAGGAATTTATGTAAGCAAAAATTATTAAAGTTGAATTCAAAGAACTAGGTGTCTGCATTTATACTTGCATCTCAGGGTTGTTGTAAGGGAGGTGTATAAATAAAAAAGCCCAAACAATTGTTAATGCAACATCAAATTCTCCTTGTGTCTTACAAGGGAATATTAGAAAACCTGATTGGAGAATTCAGTAATCCCTCAGGAGTAACTTCAAACTTTTTTTTTCAATATTAATAGTTGAATGAGTGCGGTGAAACTTGTGGAGTCATTTTATAGCAAGAGTGATCTAAGAACTGAAGCAGCTCATAAAATTTCTGAAGAAGTTCTGAATATTTTGATAAAGAGAACCTCTTCTCCAGTGCCTACTCCTATGAAAACTGTGACTTTGTAAAAAGTAGAATCATTCACGTTAACTTTTCTCTTACATTTTTCTGTCGAATTTAGCCGCTCTGCAGCCACACGAGAATAAAAATTATATTCGCAGAGCAGCCGATTTCTACCGTGGCATATATATATATCTTATTAACCAAGCGCGAGGGCCGTACTGGGAGAATATCGGCCCGAGGTCTTGACAGTACGGACTGAGCGCAGCGAGGTCCGTACAAAAAAGACCGAGGGCCGATATTCTTCCAGTATGGTCCCCAGCAAGCTTGGTTAATAAGAGATTTATTATACGACTGAAGTTCAAAGGGACACAAGTGCGGTATCATTCGGGACAGTGCCCGGTCAAATACTAAGAGAATATTGACCGGCAATAGAGCATTTTGATTGGTTGATTTTAGATATTGGCGCTCTGACTGCCCGAGTCGTGTAATAAAGAAATATACGTGTGTTTTTTCGATTCCTGTAAGTGGATCCAGCCAAGATAACGTCGGGGTCCCGCGCCGTGGTCACACTGTTGGAATCCACACTGTTGATCCCGTTGGAATTCCACCCGGGAACACGGACATCCCGGGCGGGATATCGATTCTAGAATCGATATCCTCGATATCCACCCGGGATGTCCGCTCTTCAAGATGACCCGGATGAACGTAAGAATCGCAAGTGTCGCTGGGAAGGTTTTGGCGGGAAGAATAAGCGACCGCGCTCCGTTGACAAACCGATGTTTCATTTACCGTTTTATACTCACGTTTCTTCTTTGAAATTAGTTTAAAATGTACATTAAACAGGTCGTTATTGACGGTTTCAAGTCGTATGCTACACGGACGACGATCTCTGGGTTTGATCCCCAGTTTAATGCGATCACAGGGCTGAACGGCAGCGGAAAATCAAATATACTTGACTCAATTTGTTTCCTTCTTGGAATCTCGAACTTGACACAGGTAAACGTTATTTTTTTTTAAATACGATAGCGGCGGAAGAGTATAAGAATTAACGGCAACTTCGCTTATAAGCGACAAATGAGTAGAGGAGAACTATCTAGCTAGACCTTGATACGTTCGGCCTTGTACTTAGTAGTGTATTGGTTATAATGTGCAAATTATGAGTTTACTCGATGATTCTAATCTTAGTTTGCGCCACCAATTATATTTTAAAACTTGGGTTTATAATTATAAGTGTTGAATGGAGCCTGAACTACTCAAGTTCTGAGTTTTACCCGAGATCTGCATTTTTACTCTAAACCTATCTAGAGTTTGAGGAACAATTCTTCAATTTTTGATAAAATTGGATATTTAGCTAGAGCTGTTGGTATTTTCTGTTTAACAAATAGATTCTATGATAATGTCACTGTGTGTCTGTTCAGTAATAAATCACAGATGATGGCAAAATTTACTAAAATAAGTTTTTGATTTAAGGTTGACAACCTGAGCTATTTTTTATCTGGATGTAGAGATTAGTTATCTGTTAACATTATTCTGATGCTGTGACATTTCCTCATGAAAACCCTGTATATTTAACCCAGACATGTAGATAAGTATTTGGTATGTACACATAGGGTTCTCCTTGAGAAAAAAAATTGATTTTTCACATTTTTGGGCTCAATTTCTGCACTTTTCAAGGGTCCTGTATTTGATCCTCCCCTAGAGAAGGAGCGTGTGATAGTTTTCTGAACAGTGGTGGGTAATTGAGCCTGACATGTCTTCAATTTGCAAAACACTTTTAGGTACGAGCAAGCAGTTTACAAGAACTTGTGTACAAAGGTGGACAGGCAGGGGTAACCAAAGCTACAGTTACAATCACCTTTGACAATACAGACAAGAAGCAGAGCCCTTTAGGATATGAAACTTTTGAAGAAATTACAGTTTCTCGACAGGTAAGGTCATTCTTGATGATAATATATATCTTAGTTTTTAAGAGAGGCTCTAAAAGCCGTGAACACTTTGATGAAATTTTAACACTTCAATTTTGTACTGTCCAATGATAACAAAGTTCAGGACATGCAAGCATGCCTCAAATCTACAGACTTGTGCCTCAATCCTGAAATTTTTTGAGGATTGAGAATTGTGGATGGCAGGTTGAGTTTCCGGTAATATTTCAGAAACGAGTGCGAGTGTTTCATCGGGGTTTCCAAACACAAGAAAACTTATGAAAGCATGAGGCCGTAGGCCGAGTGGTTTTATTGTTTTCAAGTGTTTGAAAACCCTGATGGAACACGAAGCACGAGTTTTTGAAATTGCTTCTCAATCTTGCATCATTAGCCAAGAACAATGAAAAAATTCTGACTGATTTCGGCATCAGTGGGGTTTAACATTTTATCAAGCTCAAGGGTTTGATATTTCATCAAAGTATAGTGGAAAAGCCTCTGTCCAGTGTTTCATCGGGGTTTCTAAACGCACACATGTGGCCAAATTGGCGTATCAGTGTTGGTTTGTAACTTGATGAATTATTAATGAGTTTGAGAAGGGAAGGTCAACTTGCTTTTGAGCAGTACCATTCTAATGGTTGTGCTCTTGTCTGATTTGTCTCTTTGGAATGGAAAAATATTTAACAGTTATTTCTGGTGTTATGCTTTTCTTACTTTCTTGGTAATTTACCACGTGAAAGTGAAAAGTTGTCTCCTGTATTACTACTTGTACATTCATTTAAGGTTGTTATTGGAGGAAGAAACAAGTATCTAATCAATGGATGTAATGCTAACAACACCAGAGTTCAAGACTTATTTCGTTCAGTCCAGCTTAATGTCAACAATCCTCACTTTCTTATCATGCAGGTTAGTAACAAAAGGTAATTTTTATATTTTTATTGTTAAAATTCATCTGCAAACTTGAAATTTATTCAATAATAGTTAACATGATTGAAAACAATATTTATCAAATTACCAGTAAGGCTATTACTTGTACATGTAACTATTCCATTTTTCCAAATATTTACTGCTCTGTACAAGTGTAGTTTTTTTTATTAGTATTACTTTTATTCAGTAGTGCTGCTTGTCTTTTGTTTTAGGGCAGAATAACTAAAGTACTGAATATGAAACCACCTGAAGTAAGTTAACAGTAATCTAATGAGTTTCTTAACTCTTCATAACCTAACATCAGTATGTATATATATCTTATTAACCAAGCGTGAGGGCCGTACTGGGAGAATATCGGCCCGGGGTCTTGACAGTACGGACCGAGCGCAGCTAGGTCCGTACAAAAAAGACCGAGGGCCGATATTCTTCCAGTACGGTCCCGAGCAAGCTTGGTTAATAAGAGATTTATTACACGACTGAAGTTCAAAGGGACACAAGTGTGGTATCATTCGGGACCATTCGGGACAGTGCCCGGTCCAATACTGAGAGAATATTGACCAGCAATAGAGCATTTTGATTGGTTGATTTTAGTTATTGGCCCTCTGACTTCCCGAGTCGTATAATAAATTCTCCATATTGTTCTCTAAACATTATATGACAAAAGAAATTTCTTTAACTATCAAAATTTCTTTAGTTAGTGATCATTTCCTTTGTCTTCATGACCTCGTGTGTGATTCAGGCATTGCAGTTTAGAGAAACTACATTGCATTGTAGATGCTAGTCATGCTTAGCAGTGAAAGGGTGAAAGAACTCAGTTGTACTGATGGTTAGACTCCATTTACCCCGGCTGATTAGAGAGCAGTTGGTCTTACCTCCTTATGCTTTTTCTTCCCCTATTTGTTCACCCAGTGGATAGACAGTCCAGCAGAAAAATTGCCAATCTACCTATGAACCAAAAATTTAAACTCTGATAAGGATTTCTCCTTACAAGCAACTGCAGATTTCCCTTGCAAATTGAGTTGGACATTTTAGTTTGATTTGAATGCAAACACCATCAGTTGAAAAAGTAGTCCATTCTAATCACCAGCTAGTTAGTTTAGTGACCGGAATTGTAAGTAGTTATGTGTTGAAACCCCTTGGGATTTAAACGCAAGGTGGGAAGTTAGGCGAGAAATACTGAAGGGTCATGCTGGAATACATTATTTCTCTTCATCAGATTCTGTCTATGATAGAGGAAGCTGCGGGAACTAGAATGTATGAGAGTAAAAAGCAGTCAGCACAACGCACCATTGAGAAGAAGGACAGCAAACTACAGGAGATTGAAACTGTGAGCAAACTAATTACATCATAAGATAACCAGGTGTATCAGGTGGAATAAGAAGGGTGGTATATATAAAAATGTCAAAAGTGTCATGTGAGTAAAAAGAAGAAGAAAGATATTAATTCTAACTTGAGTTGTGGAATAAAGAAATATGTTGTAAATTCAACTTGTCTTGAGCATAGGACAGTGACTTATAAACCCAATAGTGACCTACATGTAGCCCATTGTAAAGTTCTTTGTAATAATCATTGTGTGCAAGCACAAATAAATTATTTGACTTGTACATGTACTGCAGTAACCTCTGTGTATTTTACTAGATTCTTGCAGAAGAAATAACTCCAACCTTGACCAAACTTAAAGAGGTGAGTTTAACAAAGGTGATAAATTACTTCATCTTAACTTTTTTAAAGGTAAATGTAGAATTGTATCAATGTTAATACATATACTCAACAAATGTGTAATTCAACATCAGATGTGGATGTTTAGTACAGGTTGCAAATTTCTGGTTTTGATACAGAGTGCTTTACAACTTTGAAAACTTGAGTTGTGTTACATGTATCTGCATTGCTATTGCTTCTTAGAACAAAGTAATATTACACATTTGCCATTTAATTTCTAATTACTACTTTTTTTCAGGAGAGGGCATCTTATCTTGAATATCAAAAGGTCATGAGAGAGGTGGAGCACCTTTCAAGACTATTTATAGCTCACCAATTTGTTATGGCAGAGGTAAAAATCCATGGATCTCCTAAACAATAGGTAGCCTTCTTGTAAATGGTCAATATTTAGCTGCTAGTTGACAAACTGTTGGTAGTTGGTAAAACAACATACATCTGATTATTACTGTAGTAGTTGCTTGTGGGATTGAGGAGTCAACCAACTGTCAGGACATTTTGCATTTACATGTAGAAATTGATCAGTTGTCAGTTTAGAGTCAGTTACATTGCCTTCAACTGCTATTTTGGCTAAGTTATCAACTAAGGCTTTAGTAAATACATGCACCTTTATGATCCACATTAGTGGATAGGAGAGGCCTCCTATTAAAATTCCATTTTATGAACAATTTTTTAATAATTTGTTAATAATTTTTTGATTTTTTAATAATTTTTTAATTTTTTAAAAATAGACTATACTTTTATTTTCCTACACATTTCATCTAACTGTCGTAGACTTCTTCAGGGAGTTTTATAAGTATAACTAAATGCCTGTATTTATAAGCCAAAGTTACATGGGCCGATGACTGTAAAGGCTTGGCCGGACTTATGAACTGGAACAGGCGAAGTTGTGAAAAATTTGTGAAAAATTTAACACGTGTAAGGTAAGGTGAGAAAAATATTTTGGGGGCCACAGTTTTAGCTGTTCGACGAAACGCATAGGAAAATAAAAGAAGTTTTATATCTACTGTTCACACAAGTGCTGCTCACTAGTCTATATTTAAAAAATAGTTGAAAAAATTATTAAAAAATTGTTCAGGGGTCATGTACTTAATAATTACTTAATAAATTGGGATTTATAAACTTGTTATTTCAGGATGTACAGAAAAAGGCTGGAATTGAACTGGAGAACATTAAGCAGGAGAATGTCATACTAAAGAAGAGATATGAAGAGGTGTTGGAGCCTGGCATCTAAATTCATTGGTGTTGGTTTGTTATTATTTTGAGACATGCAGTGAATTCAAAAAATTGTTTTGTTTTTTAGCCTGTCTCACAGATTGAAGGAAAAGTTAAAGAACTAAAGGCAGTTGTCTCTGAATTAGAGAAGAAAAAGATTGCCGTAAGTCTTCCAACACTGATAGCAAAGTCTGCCAAAATTCAAACTATTGTTTTTAGGATACCATACTTTATAACTTTATAACAGTGCAGTTACGTGTAACAATTACATGACAACTGAACAGCTGTATGACTTTGCACAAAGAACTTCATATTGCAAATTTTTCTCTCCTCCTTCTTGAAATGAAGTGTTGCATAATGAAACCATTGTGACTTTTATAGACTGCCATTTCACATCATCTTGTACATGTATTTCCTGGTGAGAAAAGAAAGTGAATTTGAAGTTGAATAAAAAGTCACCTATTTCGTTATTCCACGCTCTTCTTTACATGATGTAATTTTGTATAGTACACCCCTAATATATCCTTGTCTCACATGCTTCCATATATATAATGCCCTTTCTTTCATTCTAGTCCCAATGAGTATTTGTCGCTGTTTACATACACAGGCGTGTGATTTTACATTAAAATTAATTATACTTCTAAATTTTAAGCATTTCACTCTTTTGTTCAACAGGAGTCTGGATCAGCCCTGAAAGAACTAGAAAAAAAGCTTGAGGAGGTTTCCAAGGTAACAGATATGACTAAAAATATGGTGTTGTATTTGTTCACCCTTAGTTACAGTACAATCTCTAACAAATTAACCAGCAAATATTCAGAAATTGTTTAGCATCACATTTTTTGGTTTATCTTTTTGTTGGGAGTCTTCCTTGTGGGATGGTGAGTTATTGACTGAAGTAGCAGTGAAACACCTTTTCCCTAGCTGTCAGCACTTATATTCATGTATGACCATGTAGTATTTACCAGTATTTTGGGTATAGCTTTTGGCTTCTTTGGCAGGTTGATGTCAAGACAGAATCTGATTTGAAACACACGAAGGACACTTTGGCAGCTGAGAAGAAGAAGAAAAAGGCACTTCTGAAAAGCCTTAATGATGTGAGTAGATTTGGATTTCCAGCAACAAAGGTTTCTTTTACATTTTTTTACTTGAATGCTTCTTGTTATTCAACTCTAATGGCCCATTATCATAAGAACTTAAACTAGTTTCCTGTGTATGTGTGAAGCAGCATGGAGCAGTTACTTTTGCTGGATAAGATGCAAATCCTTTCAAGTGACACCACCTCCCTCTCCCAGCCCATCAAAAAGTTTCCAAAACAGTTTGTTGGTAAATCTTTTGTATTCCCAAGTAGAGAAGGGCTAATGCAAGAATGATATAATTAATCTTGCCCAAGGATACATTGTTGATGAACATCATTGGTCAACATAAACCACAAGGCCACATCATTTGTCAAACTGGAGAGCTAGGCTGCTTGCATGCATTGTTTACCCAAGGAAGAGACAAACAAAGGCACAATTGAAAAGAGCTCATGAAAGTTCATGTGAGCATTGATCACAAATTAACCTATTACAGTTTACATCCTAACATCAGCATGCAGGTTCTCTCTACTGTTCTTTATGCATTCCCAATGGTTTTTTCCCTCAATGTTTGAGTCAGGGTGATACTGTTGGGAGAAATAAGATGCCTATCACTTCTTGGGGTAAAAGGGCTAAAGTTCTGTATCAAACTTTCAGGATCAAGCTCAGTTGAAGAACAAAGAAAAAGAGCTGAAGAAGCTGAATGACCTTCTCATCAAGCTAGAAGAAAAGAGCCAAGAAGACAGCAAGGCACTGAAAACAGCCCAAGATCATTTTCATGCAGTGTCAGCAGGGCTATCTAGTAACGAAGATGGAGAAGACAAGACTCTTGCAGACCAGATCATGAGTAAGTCCATGAACTTTTATTGATATACAAGTTATATTATCTTTGTGCTCTATCATCATCTAAGGCTTTCTTTTTTAGTCTTGAGCTTTTGGCAAATGAATGTACAGACATTTAGTTCCTTACCATGTTTTTTAGTCAAGCTTTATATGAATCCTTTGATAAAAAAAAATACTTTAAATGTGACAGAACCTTGACAGTTTAATTTAACCATACTTTTAAACAAGGAACATTTAAAAATACTACATATGAATCAGGGCTCAACACTAACTTTTCAACTTACTAGCCAAGTGGCTGGTGACATGTTAGATGCTAGGACAATCTCAGTTCATTTACTAGCCAAACTGGCTTGCAAAAACTGAATTTCTTCTAGTCTGGCTAGTGGGCTACCCTTAGTGTCAAGCCCTGTGAATATGAAAAAAATCTTAATACACACAAAAGTAACAAAAGTTACTCTAACTTTAATTTTCTATTTAATTTTAACATTATACTATCAATATTTTTTATTACATACAGCTTTTAAGAATGAAATCAGCTCTGCTGAAACTGAATCTAAGCAAGGCCAGATGAGGCAAGTAACCATAAACAGTTTTGCTGGTGCCTTTATATGAAATGCTTGAAATGTGTATTTTCTAATAATCATGTGTTGCAATTCATGGCTTTGATAACATATCCCATACAAGAGTTAACATACAACAAATGCAAAAGGATGACTTCTTAAAAGGATTATAGAACCATCAAAAAATCACTTTTAGCCCTTCACACCCTAACATGTGTATGAATATTCTCCATACTGTTCTCTACACATTTACCATGGTATTGACAAGGAGAATTTGTTTGACAATCAAGTGTTGTTTTAGTTTATGGTCATTTCCTTTATTCTCATGAACTTAATGTTTGTTTCAACAGTGGTTCTGATAGGAGAAATGGGATGCTAGTCACTCTTGGGAGCAAAATGGTTTCAAAATCAGGGAAAACAAAAATTAGAAAAATAATTAGAAAGTTTTAAACTAATTCATGGGTATTTTACATAATGCATACAATTGGCTTCTATTGGTAACTCACTAGTTCATGTGACATAAAACTACACATAATACCCAGTACTTGTACTTTTGTTTCAGACTCAAACATGCTCAGTCTGAGTTAAAGAAGAAACGATCTGAGCTGAAGAACACAGAAAAGAGCTATAAGAAGGACAAGGATGTTTATGATGCAGTTGAAAAGAGTAAATCCAAACTTGAGGTTTGTGATTGTGCACCAAGTGTAATGGCTATTGAGAATCAGGCAAAATTTGATTTCCTTGCCTTACCTGATCACCTTACTTTACAAGCCTAGGCTGATCTTTGTTAACAAAAGTTAAATTTTTCCATATCATGTTGCTGTTTTTTTTTTTTAGGATGAAATGAAGAAGCTGAAGTATGAAGAAGGAAAAGAGGAAAAACTCATTGCCAGAAGGTACATAGCTTTGTACCTTAATGTTCTGAAATCAGCTTTTAAATAAAATGGTTTACTCCATTTGGTGCAAACTTCCACTTAGTACATTTCTTTTTTAGATGTGAATTGGAGGCTGAGGTTTCTGCCCTAAGAACAAAAGTGGAAACTCTTGAGGCAAAGTAAGTCCTACATCATAACATGTTTCAATGTGTATAAAAACAAGAGGTTTTTCATCTACTTGATGTTGACAAGAGATAGGGTATAACCTTTGTGTTGTTCAGAGATTTTTTTTTTCAATAATTTTAGTGTTATAGAATATAAATTGATCATTGGATTTACTTACTGTTTATAGATTTCCAAACCTTCAGTTTGAATACAGAGATCCAGAGACAGGTTTTGATCGAAGACAGGT